AATATGCCTAGTTGTTAATCCCTCCTGCCTTCTCTGCTCCCACCTAACTCCACAAATATATACTTTGTATGTATTTTCTATTGACTTATTTAAACATCTCTTTCTCTCAAGTAGAATATAAGGTCTTTGGGAGCAAGACACCATGTCATTTTTTGTACCTTCAGTGCCTAAATTCTTAGCAAGTGAGGGTGATTTATAAAAATGCTATTGACACACAAACTGTCATGAATAAATCTGTTGTGTAAATCAATGTCCACCTGTAATTGATTCCAGAAAGAACATTTAAATACTAGTCAACATGTGTTGAGCGCTCTGAATTTTAAAAGTACTTTGCCATGATTTATCTCCTCTGTTTTTCCCAGTAACCCTTGGAATAGGTAGGGTAGGTATCATCATTATTACTAACTATTAGAAATGTGAGGCTCCTGCCTTCATGCCAAGGGTAATGGCTATGCCAATGAAGGAAGTTTAGTTTCTTTCAAAGTATAAAGAAGCAACAGATTGGAAAGGCTCATGATAAACTCAACTATCCCTTGAACAATGACATTTCAACTAAGCCCCCCAGCTTGGATTGACCAAATTAGGGAATTAACTGGGTCTGAAAAGCTAAAAAGAGGAAGAAAGAGACTGGGGGGTGGGTGGGAACATGCTTCAAATCACCTCCAACTGAGACTGAAACTGGTTCTTTGAGGGATAGAGCATCAGAGCACACCAACATGGTAGCATGATTCATTTAGGAATAAATTGAGTAGTTATATTTAATGACATTTCTACTTGAAATGATATCTAGCTAGGGATTGCAGGGAGATGGGATTAGGCTACTTGTCATTCATATATTATATCCTAGGCATTATGTATAAATTCAAGGAAGGTGGAATGTGCTACTTTTGCTAATAAGTATACTTTTTTGCCAGACTTTGCTCATAAGGTATTGCATCATATATGTAAAATCCATACATAGATAAAATTATGAATAGGACTAGGTAACTAGTTGGGGCTAAGTATTCTCCCAGTCCATTTCCCACACTCTGGCTTTCCTTGCTTCTCCTTCTAGCCTTATTTTATGGTTTGCTACTATAATGTTTCTTTAGCTATTGCCCTATTTAATTCCATAACCAGGAGGCAAGGTGGTGCAATGGATAGAGCACTGGACTTGGAGTTAAGAAGATTCATCTTCCTGAGTTCAAATCTGGCCTCAGACACTTACTAGCTGTGTGACCCTAGGCAAGTCACTTAACCTGCTTACCTCAATTTTTCTCATCTATAAAATGAGCAACCACTCCAGGGTATCTACCAAGAAAACCCCAAATGGGGTCATGAAGAGTCAGACACAACTGAAAAATGAATAACAACAAGAAAATCTCATAATCCTTTGGCTTTCCATTATTCCTGTCCTACAAATCTTCATTCCTGAATAAAACTCATCCATTCAGTTTTCTCACTTTTGCTCCGGCACAGGTGAATATTAATGCATAAAGTAAAAAAGTGGACCTGATTTTATCAATTAGAAATTCATAATATATAACCTCATTTGGGTCCTTGTTGCTGGCTGCTTGATAATCTTTCTACTGTAACCTTGCTGACCTCTTAAATCTTTCTCCAAATCGCTGGTTTTGAATGATTCCTTCTCTCCCCTCACAACTAACTACTGAAGACTTAGTTTCCCCCTTCCTGAGAAGTCTGAAGCCGTCCTCCATGGAATCACTCAGATGCGCTTCTCAATTCTTTGAGCTATGTCAGCATCACTGTCCTCACTCTCCTCCTTCACAGAATAACTCCCCACAAAGGTTCGACTCTCTTACCACCATTGCATACTGTCTCCTCCTCAAGGACCTCTCATCTCCCACACGTTTTGATCTTTTTCTGGGTACTTTGACTCCTTTGTATTTGTCTACAAATATATCCAAGTCTCCATAATGCTAAAAAAAAAAAGAAAAAGAAAGAAAGAGGGAAACAAAGAAAGGAAGGAAGGAAGGAATAAAGAAAGGAAGGAAAGAAAAAAGAAGGGAGGAAGAAAGGAAAAAAGGAAGGAAGGAAGGAAGAAATAAAGGAAGGAAGAAAAGAAAGAAGGAAAGCATTGGACTAAATTGGACCTTGCTTGTGTTATGGTTTCCTTTGGCAGTCTAGTGATGACTGTAATGTCTTAGAACAATGTTTTCAAATTCATAAAACTGGATACATGGGAATAAAAAGGAAATTAATTATATTGGAATATACTTATTGATTTTCTTTTAGGTTCACAGATTACAGGTTAAGATGCTCTGGATGAGACAAACTCTAAGGATCCTTCCAGTGTTGAAATTCTGTGATGCTATCTGTCCTTTGGAAGATATCCCTTTAACTACCATTGATATATAACCTTGAGAAAAATATTTATTGTTACAATTAAATTGCAATTCAGTGTGTCACTGAAGTCTTCAGCTTCAAGGGAATTAAGACTGCATTAAGACTTTTGGGACTCTTTATATAACTACCTCTATCTCTATCATCTAAATCTCTATCTGTATATACCTACAATTAGAATACAGCCTTTAAAGCAAGTGTTCTTAACTTGTTTAGTCAGACACCCAAATGGTTGCTAGATTTCTAGGGATCTGTGAACTTGACAGGGAAAGAAATGACATCTTTATTTTCACTACCCTCTAACTGAAATTTAGCATTTATTTCACCTATGAATATTTTAGAAACATTATCCTGAGTAGAGGTCATAGGTACCCCTTCCTGTGCTTCTGACTTTTCAAGCTTCAATACCATGACTCTAGCTGCCTGGAACCTCCATTAAGTACCTGGGGTCTCCTTACTCTGGAACATTCATCAGTTCCTATGGCTTTCTCACTCTGGAACATTTCTCCACCAGACTAGCTCCTTCTCCCATTGGTGAGTGTCTCCCAAGGCCTTCATTTTGGGAAGGACCCAAGCCCTCTTCAGCTCCTTGGGACATAGATAGTCTTTCTTTTTGCTTGTATTTGTATCCCCAGCACTTAGCACAAGTGCTTTAAAAATGCCTACTGTCTTCACCAGTTTGACAAAGGGGTCCTTGGTACAAAAAATTTTAAGAGCCCTTGTTCAAATGGTTTTTGCCCTTAGATTCTTGTTCCTGATAATATTTTTCATTTCTCCTTTGAGCCTCAATAGTACCCAACACATTATTTGAACCCCCATATTTTGATAATGAATTTTTGTTTCACATCATAATAGATATTTCATACTCACGACATACAAATTTTACAGGAGAAATTTATAGGGCAACAATTTTTAAAGTTACAGATAAACAAAAAGGACACAACTACTTCTCCCATTAGGAGCCCACAGATAAAAGAACCAACAGGTTTAAAATCAAAAGCCTTTCCACTATTGAAAGTGTTTTGAGGTGTAACAGTTCCTCGCTGTGAGAGAACTAGCTTTGAGACCTTGGACAAGTCACTTAACCTCTCATTGCCCCCAAACAACTCTCAATAAATTACAACAGAGTTGCCATCTGCATCAATGGCGGCAGTTTATTCCAGGAGTTTCCAACATCAACTAAATCACAAGTCTGGAATTTAAAAGAAAAAACATTTCTAGCTATCCACACCTGTGGTGGAATTTCACACCTCTTCAAGGAAATCGCAACCATACTTGAATTTAATCTATCTTACAACAGCAAACTATGGAACCAAATTGTGTCTCCTACTCCCTCCTTTTGCATGTTTCTCTCCCTTGTGTGTCTCTGTCTCTTGGCTTCCTTGCTCTCAGTTCCTCTTTCCTCTCCAGATTTCTTTTACCACCTCCCTCCTCTTCTTGTCCTCCTTACCCCTCACTGCCCCCCTTATCTTAAATGGCTCCCATATGGAACTGCAATATCTCATTGGTATTTTTTGTACTTTTATGATCATTATTCCTAAATCAAAAGCAAGAAAACTAGACATTTTATATGTAGCAGAGGTGATTCCATGGAGCTTAACACGGATCTGGTTCTATGCAAAGGGGGATGCACATTGGCTTCTTGTTTTTTAAAAGACACTAGGGGTGGATGGCTAATGTTCAACCAATCTCCTCCATCCAATGGCCGAAATCTTGTAATGGCATCATTGTGTACTGCTTTCTTTAGATAACCCCTTTAGGAAAACTGCTAAACATATATGCAGTATATGTATGCATATATGTGGATATATATGCGTGGGTATGTATATGTGTATGCATGCACATGTATATATATGTGTGTGTATTGTACATGTATGTTTACATGTACATGTGTGTTTATATTATGTATATATAAACACGTCCATAATATAAACACACAACAGGAAACAACCGTTTATTAAGCTTTATTAATTAATTAATTTACTAAATCATTTACTTCCTATGTGCTGAGCACTGTGCTATATACTGGGGGTATAAATAGATACATATATATCTATATATTTGTGTATGTATGTATATGTGTGCATGTATATATATCTGTGTATCTATATATGTATGTATATATTTATATACACGTTAATATATATTTCTCTAAGAAAATAAAATATACTTGCTTTTAAATTTTATAACATGCTATCATGTTTGTCATTTGGTTTTCATATATATACACTTTTCATATATATACATATATACACACACACACATGCACACACACACTCTTTATAAGGTCCTAGTGAGAGTTTATGCTAGCTTTATAATTTCGTGGTCTCTTGAACACAGTACTCACTCTTGGTTGAATTTCAAAAATAAGGTCATTTTGACTCCATTGATTTTTCTCTTTTTTTAGTCCTTCTCTGGTCATTAGACAACTTTTACATTGCCACATGTAAGAACTGGAAACTGCAAAGGACTATTCACGTATAGCAAAAACATATCTTCTCCAATCGACTTTCTCTTGAACCACAAGCTTTTCAAGACCAGCTTGAAGCACGACTGTGCAAGGTGATAATCACAATTATAATGCTGCCCATTAGGTTGCCTCTGAAATATTCTAGCTTTCAGACATTTTTAGAATAGGAAAAATCTGAGGTACTTGCCATTAAGCCTTGTTCTCCTGGTTTTCCCGGTTCACCCTTAAAAAAGAATTTAAAAATCAATATTATTAGTATTGCATGCATTAAATGTCTAGTTCATGTGCCTTTTCAGTAATGATGTTTCAACAACCACTGAAGCAAAGCACAGAGAACAGTCCCCGAAATACATGTGGCAACCACATGAAGATACATTTTTTTTTTTCTGATTCCACTGCATTCTAAAACACTCTAATTTCAGGTACAGAAACAATGCATGTAAGAGAGCTACTTTAAAACTATCCTGTAGTCGTCTTTTAATCTAACAAAAGCACATAGTTTCCATACAAGGTCAGCTCATAGTTATAGAGTTATAGAAATGGTAACTCGGTCAGATGGGGGTGACCAAGTAATAAGCTATGGAACTCAATGTTAGCAATGCTGTTGAAGTTTACAACTACATCAAGACTTTTGTGACATCATATACATTGCATTTATATACCATTTCTATTCTGATGTCTCATCAAGTTGAAGAAGTGACCCTGGATTCTCTGCAAGTCTACAGAAAAATTCAAACTCTGGTATACCCTACCACTAAGCTGGTAGGGTTTTCATAATGGTCTGATCAGAGAATATAGATCTGACATTCAATAACCAATTAAATTTAGTTAAATTTAGGAAGACTTATTACCAGAAGATTGATTGGTCTCCAGGTGATAAAATTCCTATCCATAACAACTCATGATAACTGTTTACCAAAGTGAAAAGGGAGTTGCAATGGAGGGCCCAGGCAATAATGAATTCTAACACTAATATATTAGAATAATACTCTGCTCAATGAGAGGTCAGACTGGTAACCTCCACCATTTAAAAAAAAACAGTTACAAACTTGGCAACACAGTATAAGAAAACTCTGAACAGTGAATATCTATCACAAAGTCCATGTATTTTAGGAGAAGTAGACTTTTTGGTCCCATGCAGTTAACTTTTGAAATTCTTTTCAAATTCAAGGCACTGACAGTTGTTCAAAAAGGCCCAATGAACTCTATTTGAGACAACAGTCTTTGCTAAATTTTAGGCAAATAGTTTTCATGTATGTGAAGTCTCCTTAAATGGTTCAAAATTGTATTCATGTGCAATGGAATATATGACTTTAGAAAAAATTTTTGGGAAAGCTTCAGAACTATTCTCTAATTACAGAAAATTACATGAAAAAGAATTTCATTTGTATGTAGAGACTGTCACTGCATAAAATTTTCTAGAATTTAGGTGTGATTGATAATGGTTAAAATAACTGATTAACCTCCAGGGAGGACTCCTCAATGGCATTGTTATTATCATGATTAATTTTTGCTTAGATTAATGGGGTACAGTAGGGAAAGCAGTAAAATTGGAATGAAAGGACATGGGTTCAAACTTGGCTTTGGACAGGTCATTTAACCTTTTTATGCCTTAGTCTCCCTTTCTGTAAAATGAGGGATGTGGAAGAGAATGAAATTTAAGATTGATTAAAATCAATGATGCTAATCCACGATTACTTTATCATCATATTTAATGTCATAGAACAAAATAACAGGCAGCTGAGCAAAATAACTACACTTAACAAAAAAATAACGTTAGATACAGGTAGCCTTTTAAAAGGTGCTTCTGAATTTCTTTTAAGAAATTCCTTTCTGAGGATTACAATATTTAATAATTTTTCAACTAAATTGAATCTGAGCCTATAACCAAATGTCTAATTCAATTTGTGGAATTTACAAATAGAACTTTGGGTCTATGAAATGTGTAAGGAGTTCCTTTCTTAACACATCCATTGCAATAATGACAGTTTATGTTTATATGCTGCTTTAAGATCACAAAGAACTTTCCTATTTATTGCACCTTGATATAAGGCTAAAACAAATTCCTTATAGTAAACAGGAGGGCCATCACTTCTCTCTTTATCCTCATTCCTTAACAACAATTCTTCAATGGAATTTAATTCCTGGCACAGCCCTAGAAGATATAACATGTGATTGATATAGCAAAGCTATTTGAAGAGATATTTATTAGATTTTGAGCTAGAAAGGACTTTAGACTTCTAACCTCATTGAATAAATATGGAAACTGAGACCCAGAGAAGTAACTTACTCAAGGTCAGGCAAGGCCAGGCTCCTGAACCTGGTTCCCTACTCCAAATCCATCACTTCCCATAATATCATATGACTTCCCTAATCCCGAGGCTACCAAAGACTATACAGTTCACAAGAATGAAGCTTCTCTTGTCTATGGCCCATTTGGAGCATCATCTGGAGAAAAATGAGTCATTAGAATTGGGCTTTTGGAATTACGAATTTTTCCTTCTAATGGTAGTGTAACTTCAACAATACCATCCCTGGGGCTAGCCCACCATATTCTAAGAGTGAATTCCTCATATAACTATGGAAGAATTAATTGTGTCATTCAGCTTGGTAAACAGCATTTGTAAGAAAGTTTGTCTTAAAACTTTTGCATTAGAACTGTAATTAAAAAGATAATAATAAGGCAAGCAAGCAAACAAACTCCCATTTGGCTCATTTGCAGTTCATTATAAAGTATGCTATAATGCAGTTTTAAAAATCATTTATCACTTACAACACAGTGTACAGGTGTTCCCAAAGTCAATACAGTTTTAAGCTATAATAACTGTTAAATGTCTTAAAGCTTGGGGATACCCTGTGGTTTTTATTGGTTGATTTTCATTGCTAGATAGACTGATTTCTTCTAGGACCATACTTTACAATAACCATACAAGTCTGGTCCATTCTCAGCTATGGGAGATTGCATTGATACATGTAGCTCATGATTCATTCTCAAATCTTACCTGGTAGAACTCCAGATGAGTTGCTACCCCTTCCATGTACCCACTCTGACACTTTCTGAGGCTACCAAAGAGAAGAGGGCTGTGGCTGGCAGCAGCACCTGGCTCCCACTCCATTTGGAGACTTCTCAATATACACTTCCTCATTTCTCTTCTTCCTGTGCCTTATCCCCATAACCTGAACCCAACCCCATGCCCTGGCCCAATGATCATCACAAAAAGTTTTGGGAATCTGTGATTCAGAAAGCATAAGGAGACAGCAACTCACAGGTACTCCCGGCATGCCACGGGGACCATCTTTCCCTGTGTCCCCAGGGGGCCCTCTGGGTCCTGGTGGTCCAGGTGGTCCAGGAGGGCCAGCCTGTCCTTGGTCACCCTACAAGGGAAAAACGAACAGAAACACAGATGATTACACAAGACCATGTTCTGAGGCATCTTTTATTCAAGCATTCTTCAAAAAATTGCCTTGTTGACTGCTCTTTGGCTCAAATGATTCACGTAACCAAACGGTGAAAAGAATCCTAGAGAGACATAAAACAGGCATCTCTGCTAGCCACTTGCCTGACCACAGGAAGGAGATAAATGCATACCATATGAGCTGGCTTGATGTGATAAAATAGAGAGGTACTCAGTGGCCAGGCACATAATGCTACATCACAATCGCTGTGCTTAGAAGCAAAGCTGTCCCCTCCTTTCAAATAAGTCTACAAGAACAATGCTTCATCAGCTTGTTTTGATTTTAAACTTTCCTTACAGTGGTAATAAAACCAAAGGCTAGACTAGCACTTTCAACAGATGCATTTCATGGCTAGGTTATCAATAAATAACACACACGAGGCTCTTTCCTTATAAGATAAAGTCATTCTTGGCTTAGTTCAGAATGACTTCTTAATTACTAGAGGCAGAAGGTTCTGAAAACATCCCTTACTGACTTCAATGATAATAAGTAAACTTTGAAAAAAGAAAAGACAAAAAAAGGTAAAAACCTTTTAATTTCTTTCAATTTTTCTTTTCAAACTCACAGTATCACAGGAAGCTGGAAAGAACCTGGGAGGTCATATAGTCCAACCCCCTCACCTTAATTAGGAGGAAACTGAGGACCACTGAAATTAAATGACTTGCCCAAGGTCACAGATAGTATGAGGCAGAGCTGGGCTCTGAGCCCAGGTCCCCTAGCTTCCAGGCCAATGCTCTTTCCATTGTACAACATTGTCTTCTTATCTCTTACAAATATTCTCCAAATATGCTTTATTAAAATTATTTTGCTTTGGGATGTTTTCAAAACAACACTCCACCATTAGGAGATACCTGATACAAGCATGCAGAGTAATAATTAAAAGTAAAGAAGAATCAGACTTCAGACAGAAGCAGCACTACCTTAATGAGGCGGCGTTTAATGAGCTGCTGATCAGCAGAGAGAAACCCATGATTGATTTTAGGAAACACCATCTGATCAGGCAGGTGAGGTCAAAGGTTGAAGTTCAGAGGTGAGAGAGTTGAGGAATAGACATCAGAAGGCCCAAGAAAGAAATAAAGATACAAGCATTAGACTTATCAAAACTAATAATAGGAGAAAAAAAGAACCAGTGCTTATGTGACACTAGAACCCCAGCCTGGTTGTTGGAAAGCATAAAGCTGTGGAGCACGTTGGTAAAGTTAGGTTTTTAAATGCAAACATTTTTCAAAACAGTTACTTTGGCCAGAGATGTTACAGTTTGGGTTTGGGTTTTTGAATTCAGGATCATCCCACAGCTCCAGAGGCTCTCATATGCTTTTCTACAGGCAGAGATTCCAAGGACAAAGTACCAGTCCAATTTTTCAGCCAGGACTTTCAACCAGCATAATGTTGCATGAACCTTGGTGCTATTTTAATGATGACTGAAGGCCAGGAGTTCTTATAATGGTGTAATCGACCGAGTGTTAGAAAATATAGATAAGAACACTGAGGCACAATACATTCCCACATAATTAAGTCTGAATAAAAATGTGGGGTACTCACAGATCACCTCTCCCATACATGTTACTTTAGATAAATCTTCATCTAAGAAAATTTTATTTAAAAAAAATTTAAAGAAAATCTCACTGGAGTCCATGAGGCAGCATGTGTTGATGGTTTTTACTCCTAAAGACAGATGGAGTAATTGACTTTCAAGAGCCCAGTTAAATGTCCATACACACTCTTATGCTGATTGAGGAGGCTGACTGAGTAGGCATATGTTTCGACCACAAACCTTGACGGTGAGTATCTGATTACTGTGCAGAGCCGCAACTGTGGGGAAGCCTGGCAGACCCTACAGACAGACATGGCGCGGGCACCAAAACAACACGACAGAAACCGTCACACAGACATTTCACAGATGGACAAACAGAACAAGCAATACGCCCAATGGGGCCAACGGACTACCACTAGCCTCGTCTACTATGGGGCCAAGCAAAATTTAATGCAAGCTCTTCTTCAACTGAAATAGAAAGTCAGAGAGAGACCCAGCAGTTCTCACATTGACCATTTGATGGGATTCAAGTTTGTTGTGTATAGCCTGTGGCTAGAATTTTTCGGAATTTTCTAGATTTCTAGAATTCTAGATGCAAAAGGTTCTCCATGGATGGCTATGGGGCATGTGCTGAACACCAACACATTGTTACAGAATGAGAGCAATGCTCTGTTTGCTCAAAGACACAGGACATACAATACACACACCCATTTTTTAAAAATGGACAGTAACGCACAATGAACATGGCAAGATTAGAAACAATGCTCAAGACAGACCCAATGAGTTTGACACATTTAGTGTTCCCACCTATGTTTCAAAATATCCCTCTCATATCACACGATGACTCCCAGTTCAAATAATCTGTTTTCTCTTGCTTGAGGAACTCAAAGTGATACCAACGGCCATCTATCTGTGAGCATGTCTATGGCAGCGTTTGACCTTTATGCTCTACTTAAGTATAAATACTTTTTCAAAAGTTCAATATTTTAAAAGAGCAAAATGCTATTAGGAACCCTTAATAATGAGAAGGGACCAGAGAGAAATTTTGCAGGGACATTCCCGTGAGAAGGATCATATTAGAAAGCAGACAAACAAATCAGTTCTATGAACTGGTTTGCCCTGGTTCCTCCTTTCTGGAGAACAGACTATTGTGGAGGAGATCAAATTGGACAGATATGAGACACATTTTTGCTTTAATTTTACCACCTTTCCAACACTGTACTTTGCAAAAGTAGAGCTCTCCAGCATGATAATTTCTTCCTCTTATCTTTTTTTTTGCTTGAGTACAGTTTATTAATATATTGAATCAAATAGTAAAAAGAGCTGCATGCCCTCCCCTTCCCTATTTCTGTAGAGACCCCCACAAGGTTAAAAGTTCCCTAGAATCTTTATTTCGTTAGTTTTTTTCCCACTGGGGCTTTTTTTTTTTTTCTTGAGAAAGTCAATAGACTTTAAGATAGGTAGATAGACAGATAGATAGACAGACAGACAGACAGATAGATAGATAGACAGCAGACAGACAGATAGATAGATAGATAGATAGATAGATAGATAGATAGATAGATAAGTGGATGGATGGGATGGGATGGATGGATGGATGCATGGATGGATGGATGGATGGATGGATGGATGGATGGATGGATGGTTAGATAGATAGATAGATGGATGGATGGATAGATAGATAGATGGATGGATGGATAGATACATAGATACATAGATAGAAACACAGATAGATAGATAGATAGATAGATAGATAGATAGATAGATAGATAGATAGATAGATAGATAGATAGAAAGACAGATAGGTAGTAGCATTTCTGCTCTGTTGCCTTTCATTCTCATCTATTCAGGCAGTGCTTAGATAGAACCAAAGCAAGGTAACTTTATTCGCTTTGCCAAAATCCATTCTGATAAGACTGTCATGAGGCTCAGTGCTTTCTGAGTGACCTGTATCTTCCTCTCATTTTTTTTCTCCCTCAAGCAAAAACCCTTTAAACATAGATTGTACACAAATATAGAAATATTGTGAGTTGGAAAACAGATGTGTACAATTTGCTTTCGTTTTACTGAGGAATATGAGTTTATTAGATGGTAATATGCCAGCATCTTTACATCTGTGACTCATTAGCCCTATATTACACAAAGTCAGGACACTATATGTAAACTACAATATTTATGTGACAAAGAATAAAAACAGATACAAACAAGAAGCAGATGAAGGACCAGAAACCTAATTAATGGTGATAAATCATAATGTCACTTTAAAATGGGATTATCTAACAAAAATAACTTAAATTTTAAACCATTTTAACTACATGCATGGTAGACTTTACAAGTATTTTGAAATGGTAATGAATAAATAAGCTGCTTCTCACATTCTTATCTGGATATGCCTAGTAAGAAGTGACCACAAAATCTCATGAAAAAAAGATTCTAATGTGACAAAATCTGAAATGGGAAGTAGAAAGGTGCCTTTCATTTAAGACCCTAAATCAATGGAAATTTCTTTGTGAGGAGCTGTTTTCAGATTCCTGTTTTAATAACAAGAAACCTTACACACTTAATATTTGTGACTATATACTGAAGATCTCACTAGGTGATTTTGGCAATATAGCTTTAGGAGTACGGCTGAGAGGAAAGGAAAATGCGTTAAAGTGGAGAATGTCTGTGACTTTCCACAGATATTCAAGGTGAGGTTAGTGAGCAAGAAGCTCAGTTTAGACCTGGAAATCATGCTGCTTTATACTCACATACACAGGTGTATTCAAGGATGGTGTCTATGACTATTTCCCAACAACTTGGGACCACAAGTTCAAACTAAAGACTCTAGCCTCTCCCCTTCCATATACATTCTTTTTCTGGCTATTCTTAATCATCGTTTTTTCCCCCTCTCAAATTATTTTATTTTATTTTTATTTTAATGAGATCTCACATGAAAAAATGTGGGTGTTGGAGATATAATCAACACTGCGTGATTTACCCTACTCTGCCCTCTCCTCCTACTCCCCAGTGTAGGAGCAGAACAGTAATTATTAGGAGAGTGAGAGTTTCTAATCACATAGAAGAGATTTAGCTAGATCACTGGTCTCAGACAAAAAAAACATGCAAAGTCTCATGAGTTTTCTTGCCTTAATCACTGTGTTTAGTCATATTACACTTCATATTCTCAGGGAAAGGTGGAGGAGGAAGAAAGAAGTTGGATGAAAATTTAGGATTAGGTTGGTTCCAACTGGTACAACAGGAAACCCTGGAGGTGAGAAGGTCATTAGGGCTGGAGAAAAACTCTCTGGGGAATTTTCATGCATGGTCCCATATTTAGATCCCCAACAAATTCACAAGTTAAATGGTTCCATATGGATACACTTTTAGGATGAGCTAACAGTGGTATGTATTGTCACTGTTTAAGTTTGGATTTACAGAGCTGGCCCTAAGAGCCTTGTTTGCCTCAGGCATTTGCCTAACACTGGGGTATGTTGCCAGCCAGTGAATTGTGCTTTTTTCATGTAGGCATTGTTTTTTTGTATGCCATAGCACTGTGGTCCATTCAGCAAGGTTTCACTTAAGTGTGGTTAACTTAGATAAATAATAACAACGGATGAAAGTAAAAAGATTTATTAAGCCCTTACTAAGTGTTAAGCACTGTGCTAAGTACTGTGGACATAAATATAAATGTGAGATGTGGAGTACATTTAGGACAGTATGTGATGATAGAAAATATGGGCAGAGAGTTTTGGTCAGAGGGTTGGTGAGGAAAGCCATAACAGAGTTGACTGACATGTCCTTTCCACTAATAATGGCAATATTGAATTAATTACAGGTCCCAGAAGAAATGGAACCAAGGAGAAGGAGAGTATAATAAGAATAATTATAAATAATTCACATCTATATGAATGTTTCACAGCTTATGGAGAACTTATTTTTTCATAGCATCCATGTGGTTGTACAAATGTCATTATCCCCAAGTGACTCCCCCCAAATTCCTACTCCTAGTAAGTGCTAAAGTCAGGACTTGAACACAGGGGCATGCTGACCTCAAGCTCAGTGTTCTTTCTATTATGCCCAAAGGGAATAACCCACTTTCCCATTCAATTGAGATTTTTCTCCACAGTAATTAGTGGAGAACAAGTGAAATGGACATATTTCATTTAGTTTTATATCTCAGAAAATTTCCTGGTATACAGATGGTTTGGAGTGGGTGCGGGAAAAAAAAAATACATGTGTTTCTACAAGGCCTGGTGAAAGAACACAAGAATAAGTTGATGCATTGAAGTAATTTGCACATGTTTCCCCCCAAAAAATGTTTTAAATGCTTCAGGAACCTGGATGCACAAGGGCGTAAAATGACTTTCCACAGGCAATTTTCCTGCTCAAAGCACTTAACACATCTCATCTCAATAATGTTCATAACTCTGTAACACAGGACCCTTTCTATTAGTATCATTCTAGGAGAGGTACATATTTTGTCATACCCTCTGGGCAGTGCCGAAACACCAACCTGTCTCATGAGGATGCTGTGAAGACAAATAGTGCATATGAAAGGCGTTGACCTTCTTAGAAGAAATCATTTGCATAGCCATTCCCACCCAAAGTTCACAGACCTTTGGTGGGAAATAATTTTATCCAGGGGTGGGGAACTCAAGGTAACATGTGGTGCTCTGGGTCCTCAAGTGAGGCCCTTTGACTGAATCTAAACTTCACAGAACAAATACTTTTATTAAGGAAAGTTTCTTATCTATTTAAGCAACAGAGAGGAAAACTTTTGACTTTTTGCTCATATGTCTATGAAAGAACCAGAAATGTCATCCATGATTTAAAAACCCAGACTTTGTCACCGTGTTATATTGTGATACAATGTCCTTGCCTTTAATGATGGGAAGAACTTTATTTTTTGATGAAGGGAAGGAGGATATGGACATTTGTTATCAGGAATTGCCAGTGAGGACATTCAATCTCCCAAGACAAACCAGTATCTGTTAGGGAATTTATAGTCTCAGAGAGTTACCTGGGACACTGAGATGTTAAGTGATTTTTCTAGGGTGACACAGGCAGTATGCAACAGAGTTTAGAGTTGAACACAGGTCTTGACTTTAAGACTCTCTATCCACTATACCACACTGCCTCACATAGAATGAGTCTATTATTAATTACTATACACTTAAGGTACTTTTAAAATACAAACCTGGAGGGCATCCTAGGACTATTCAACTGAAAATAAGTTGTCGATTTAAAAACATAAGAAATTGGGCAGAGTTGACAGATGAACGTTAGAAAGGTATGAAATGTTCACTAACCCCAAAGCG